CAGTCATCCGTGCATTAACCGTTAATTGGAAGGTAAATATGGGCGTTTTAGTTGCCAACTTCATTAAGTTATCGAATGCATAATCCTTTTCAGCAGCTTTTTTTTTGTTTGTAGTGACGAAGCGGTGCAAGCTTATCAGTTGGAATAATTAGCTTGAATTTCCGATAAACAAAGTCACGAACTTATAACAGATATATTTTTTCGGAAGGTGCAAACTTCTTGGAAAAATATACAGAGGCGTCGGTATAGGAGAGTAAGTGAGCGTTGATTTATATTCTGGAAACATTAAGAAAATTCCACGAAAAAAAATGACTTTTGTAAAGGTACTGTATCTAATGACCGTAAAATATTGTGTGGAATTCGTTTGGAATGCCGCTAGTACCAAGATTTGACTTCATCTGTACATTTAATGGAACAGAATTCACCGTGTCCAGGGGAAGTCTAGTACCTAACACTAACTTGTATTTGAACTTGTCCTAATTGCTGTTGACATAGGAGGTTTGATTCCCAGATGATTTCAGTGTTTTGAACATTCCAACGGACACGCTAACAGCACATTATCCTCCAACAGATTTATGCAATATGTAACAAATGTTCCAATTTTCTAACCAGGAACTGGACTCCTCGTTAATTATAATTTGATTAATAATTGCAAAAGAGTATATATACTTAAGGATGAGTAGCTGAACAATTTTAAAATTTACTTATCACTTATTTGTAACTCAATCACAAGCTAAACTTGCTTGGAACTTTAAATACGTGCTCATGAACAATAAGATAAGATGAAATTGAATGCAAAAAAAGATGATAAGTGAACAGAGCAATCAAGGGCTTAAGACGTTTTCGAAATAATTACTATTGTTCTCAAGATGTCAGCTTTTATTCTGTTGAATGTAGCAAGGGCCTCATTCAAATCCATGTCAAGATCGACGCCCTTCTCCAAAAAGTCAAGTACAAAGCAATAATGAAGGGAAGGATCGAGTAGCACTCTGCAACTTTGTGGAGAGGTTTACTATCAATAGATAGATCTTATAAACCAGACCAGTAGAGGTTCCTTAAAACAGGTAAGATTAGAAATATGAAGGTCGGTTGTGATTTCGAAAGACACCACATTCCGTTCATGGTATCGAAATGTTTCCTATTTAAATCTCTATACGTTCTTCTGCTAGGCCCTTCAAAGAGCGATGATATTTGTTCTATGCAAACTGTGTGGTCATTCACGGATATTAGCCTTGCATGCTGAGTTTCAAAGTCAGATCTGTGGCGGATTATAAATTTACCCTTGTTTTCCACTGAGGTGACATGAAGTCAAGAGCTCCATCGATCGGTTAAGTTCAACACTTTGATCACTAGCTTAGCTTGGAAAATTGCAAGTTGAGAAGAATGACTACATTCAACAATTCGCACTTTTCCGCCTCTATTTGGTTCGATACAGGCTTTATTTGTTCTATTCTATTAACATATATTCTGCTAG